GTGAATGCTCAAGTAGTTCTTAACAGGAGCAAATTTGGGAGATGGTTGGTTGTAAATGGGATCTCAGCCTGTGGCCACAGAACCAGGCAAAATGAAACGGTCCAGTCAGAGAACAGGGCCCCATCCACATGGTAACCAGACCCAGATGCAAAAAGCACCCTGCACAGAATGTGACCCTTCATAGCCATGGGAGGAGCCCAGTCCTACAGGATTAGTAGAAATCCATCACAGTGCCCTCCGAATTTAAAAGTAGTTTTCGAGTAATTCAGGTCAGAAGAGTTCATGATGGGACTTGGGAAGCATCAGCTTAGACCATGTGACCTGCCAGCCATCTGCTTGATCCACACTCACAGAGGCACAGCCTAGCAGTAGGAATTAGTCTCCAGCTGGGTGGCGGGGTGCGGGGGTGGGTATTGGCTGGACTTCAGCCAGCATCAAGGCCTTCTTAGAAAGATCAGCAGATGAGGGGTCTTCGAGTATGTTTGGAATATGAAGGCTAAGAAGCAGGACACATCAGGTCATTGGATGGACCAGAGTGAGTCACAAAGCTGCTAGGAGGCAGATGCTTTGCTGTCCCCTGCTGCTGCTCACTGCGTGGACAAAAATACCTTCTGGTTAGCGTATGGCGCTGGGTTTTGCAAAGGAAAAAGTTTGCAAAAGCAACCATGAGTGTGTTCGGGGAGCCTGTTGAGGTCCCTGTGCAAGAAGGAAAGAATTCTGCACTAACTAACATTTAGCATAGAGCTAGTGCTCTGGTTACAGAGCGAAGAAAAATGGCCGAGTCGCAGAGGATTTAGGGCTCATGGGCGACCCTAAGAGATGCTGAGATATGGCTCAGGAAGAAAAATAATCCCCAGCTGGCAGCAGCTAAGCAGTGACAAGATCAAAGTGCTGAATTGACATTCTTCACACAAACAGATGAACAAGCTTTACCATTAGAGAGTTCTCTCTCCACAGACAAGGGTTGCCAATGCAAAGAGGAAAATTTCCCTCTCATGTCCGCAGGTGTTTAGTATTTTAAGAGCACTTACACACTCTTTATTTCATGTATCACTGGACAGTCCTGTTTTATAGTTAAGAAATGGATTGCCTGAGGTTTAACTAGTTTGACTCATTGTACATAGCAAAGCCAGTTCTTAAACAATTGATATATTTTTATTTCAAGTTCAGGGCTTTCTCCATGACATTAAGCTCCTCTCTATCTTATAGTCTAGTTGGTTCCAAGCCATTAACCCCTGTAAACTCAAAGCGGTAGCTTGGTATGGCTCTCTTCTTAGCCTAGAGATCCTTCTGTCTCTGCCTGGAGACACGCAAGACCTATGGGCCACTTGGAGAAGGGCATTCCCCACCTTGTCCACCTTGCTGTTTCATTTGCACCTTTCTCTCCCCATGAACCCTCATGGACCCTAGGCTGAACTAAGGATGCTCGAATACATAGCTCAGTATTTGAGCTCAGGAACTGCTGGCTTCTCTTGCTGTTTCCTTCTTTGGCTAAAACCCTCCAGTGGTTCCCATCTGAAAAGGCATTGTAACATAGTAAATAAGAGCGTAGGTTTCAGAGTCAGGTAAACTTAGATCTGAATCCCAGCACTGTAAATTAGTAGCTGCCTTAACTCTCTGAACATCTGCACACTCATCTGTAAGTGGAAATTAAAGAGCTATATTTTGGTCTTGTGAGAATTGAATCAGGTAAAATATATCCAGTGTCCAATATAGTTCCACACATTTAGTAAGTGCATAATAAATGGGGATTATTGCCTACAAATAATAGTCCAGACACTTGAGCAAGGCTCAAGGCTCTTCCCAGCATGATCGCTCCTCCCCCACCTTACATTCCAGCAAGTTCATTTCCCTAATGCAAGAGATTCCTTCAAACCCCCTGTTGTTCCCTCCTGGACTTGTGTCAGAGGGCCGAAGGCCATTCCACTTAAAGGATGAAAGGCTTTCTAGAACCTTCATGTCTGTGCTCTGCCCCCCATGTAGGGAGAGTCGGTTTCTAGCAGAAATCAATTAGAGAGCATGTCCTTTGAGAAAGGGGGACCTGGAAGCTGAAAAGCAAGATTACAGTGAATGAGGAGTGATTACACAAGAAAGATCTGGAGGGCAACTTGACAACTGAGCTGGAAAATTCTCATCTTTTACTGATGAGAGGAGCATGGCATTTTTTTTTTCTGGAGGGCAGCCATGAACTTACCAAATAAGTAGGAAATAAATGGAAAATTGGATAGCCCAATTAAGTCCCAATTTAAATGAGACCAGTGCATCCTAGCCTGCGAAATTATCCTCAGATTGTAACTTTAGAATCAATTTTTAAACCTGATAAAATTTCAGTAATTAGCTAGACAGTGTAAAAAAATTCTCATTATACATTTATTAGCAAAGACTAGCAAAGTGTTATCAAATGATTATTATAGTTAAGTGATTTGTAAAAAGCACATGAATTATTTCTAAAACAATGTGCCTCAAAGTGCGTGAAGAGTTTGTCCTCTTGGTTTGATAAAACATCTCCTTTCCAATCTTATTGACTTCAGTAACAGCTTAAATAACTCTTGTATGCATGGATTTGGGAAAGGTCGGTTGGCCTAGCTCATGTGTAAATTATGCTACGTTTTTAATTAATGGGGGCTGAATTGTTGAGGCTTTTCTTGACTCTGTGGCTTTGTTATCCAGTATTCATTTCAAATGGCATTTTTCAAATCGGCACTGAACACAGGTTAACACACCTGAGAACAAAGGATGCTTTTCTGCAGCCACGCAAGTTCAGAGCTTTTCAGTGGCTCCTGTGCAGTAAGAGACCTGTTGGGAGACATGCAGAGCAATGACTAATCTTTCCTTTCACCCATCTCTGACCCAAGCCTGTGCGAGTCAGAATGGGACAAATCGTCCCCATCCCCCATAGTATTCAGGCAGCTACTTAATCAGCCATTAAGAGCAGCATGTACCGTCCAGACAAAGGGCACACACACACAGTGGTCAGAGATCCCCTTTGCTCCATAGCATGATATTTTACTAGGATTCTGGGACAAACTTAATTGTAGAGAGCAAATTCTGTCCTTTAGCCAAGTGTCGGGGCGGGGCAAGAATATTGGGCCTTCCTTCATGAGATGGGTGCCTGTGAGCATGCGCCTCTGAGAACCTGTCCAGGTGCCACTGGGTATTAAGGACCTGGACTAAGCAAAAGGCGAAAGCCTGGAGCGTGTGACCTTGACCACCTGCCTATCCATTGATCTCATTTTAGAATATGGAAGATTCGCCCTTAGCGTTTTCCCAAGGCGAATGCAGCCTGGGGAAAAGAGGGTTACCCATGTAGTTGTTTTGGTAAACTTTGCAAGTGAATGATTCCGTTTTTCCCATGGCATGTAGCTTGAAATAATACTTGTATTTGTTTGCTTGTTTACTTGAGACCTGTCTTCCCTACTAGACTACGTGAGTTTCAGGAGCTTAAGGACCTCGTTTGTTTTATGTGTCCAGCACCTAGAAAGCGTTCCTGACATATATTAAGGACTCCATCAATGCTATTATATGAATGCATAAAGGTGTGTTTGGCTGACCTACCGAAACTCCTATGTGAAAAGACGCAGTTATAACTCAGAGGAAGGTAATACCTCTGCCCTCTGAACATTTGGAGATTATCACATGAGGTCTTGGATTTTTATCCCAAATCCCCATTCATTTGTCATTTGTGGTGAAATTAATACGATTTTGCGTATGGGATCATTTACTGAGTAAGATGGTCATTAGAAGTCTTTGTGGCATATGGTGGTGTAATATAAGTTTGTGGTACATTTTAAATTTTTTTTTAAGAAAAGAAAGAATAAAGTAACCTTCATAGCAACCAGCAACAAAGAACTAAAGCCTGATTTCTAGGCGCTTCTTCTTAGCAGCAGGCCAGTTCACCTGAGCACTGCGGCTCACTCACCCGGTCACCTTACTCAAGGGACATCTCCCTTTGCAGTTAAGTGGACTTCAGGGATTTTTTCCAGCTCTAGAACTCGATGAGCTGTTTGAGAGCCTAGACCAGAACCTGCTGGTACAGAGGCTTCGGGGTTTGGGGCAGAGCTCCGAGCATTATCCAGACTAGGACTCCCATCCCAGCTCGGGTCAGGCACTCACTTAACCTCTTAACCTCATCTGTGAAATGGGGAGAGTAAAGTTATTAGGAGATCCAAATAAAGAGTTACACTAAAAGTGCTTAGCACAGAGTCTAGCCAAGCATAAATATTCGGAAAGTTAGCTCTCATTACTTCTATCTCAAATATTTGATATTTATGCTCTCACCCTTTTTTATTGATGTGAAGCCTCGCCAATAGAGCTCAGGTCATTTTTCTTCAAGCTGCACAGTATATAGCTTACAATGGACAGTTGGCCATTTATCAAAAGGCATCACTTTGTGCGACAGCAGGACCTTGATAGACACCTTCCCCCATATTTCCAGGTGGTCTGATGGTGTTGCTCGGTGGCGCTTTTGAGAGACATCAGAGCAGCCCTCTCGGGGTGGCCACGTGACCCTCTTCCAGTGAGCATACCTGTGCCACAATGACTTGAAAGACCTCTCTGGAAAGATTCTTTCTGGCCCAGAGCAGACACACATCCTCTAGCCATGTTTCTTATAACTGGAAACGCAAAGCGTTTGTCTGAAGACGGCTAAGGAAGTGGAAGGCAAAGCCTACATTTAGAAAAGTCCAGTTAAGCTAGGCTCCATGGGTGGGATAAAAGTGCGATACAGGGCATGCCCTGCAGCTAGAGGCAGCGTCTGCAAAGGGCTTTCACCTTTGCAGGCTGGAGAGGCGGGTGTGGAGCAGGTGGTGCGGGTCTCCCTTTCCCAAAGCGTGTGGACTCTGCAAGTGCCAAGGCTGTAAGCGGGATCTCTCGGGCCTGTGTTTCTACAGTTTCCTGTCTTTAAGGACCTCTTTTTCTCTATGAAGTTTCTGATTCTCCCTTCTCTCCACCCCCTCTCTCCATTTTTTTTTTAAACTGCTTTCTGTTTGGATCCTCCGTAGGAACGCTTTGGGGTAAATATTTTTCTCAATTTTCTCTGAAGGAAAAAATACCGGGAGTGGGTTGGAGGCGGGAGGAAGCATGGTTGGGAGGGAAGGAGCGGGCTCCCTGAGAAAGGTGTGCTTGTATGAGCGGAGAGTTTTCACCGACATCCAAGAGAACGCAAATGAGGAGCCGCAAGCCTGCTTGACTGTTCTTATTGGTGTGGATGTGTATTTGGCTTAGAGGCTGCCTTTTTTAGATAGGCAGATAGGTGAACCTAATGTGGTAAAAGTGTTTATAAAATAGACAAAGCCCCTGGATGCAGAAGACCGTATCAGTACGGTACTTTTAGGTCATCTTTATTCAGATCTAGGCCTGACCTCTAATTATTGAGAGGGTCTTTGAATTTACAATCTGGGCATAGCGAGCATTCCTTGAGTTCTATTAACTGTCTTCCTACCTTGCCTTCTGTGAGGGCATAGATGGACTTTTATCTCCCTGTCTGGGGGTGAGGTGTGGTATGACAGGAAGGACAGGGTCAAAAGCAGGCAGAAGCCCTTTTAGTGCCCATCGGATGTCCTGGGTCCCATTTCCTTGGGTAGCTGGTGTAATGGTCATCGGGTCCAACCTGAGGACAGGATCACAGCCTGAGCACACTGTTTAGAGTCTCATTTCCCACCACCATCTGCGTGTTTTACACACTGCGGTTGTTTGAATTGAATGCAAAGATCTCAAGGGGTGAGCAGGGTGGAAAGAGAAATGCAGGTTGATTTATTCATTTCATTCCTAAAACTAAGAAGAGAATGTATTTTCTCTATTAGAAGCAAACGTTTCTAAGAGGCTGCGTAGGGAGGGTCCCTGGCGGTAGGGCCAGGATAAAAGTGGGCAAAGACGACAGCCTGGGCCTTCTCCAAGCGTGTGGCACTCTCTGCAGCTTGTGCTCAGTGCAGACCATCGGAGAAGGGAAGGGACTGCGGAAACAGCCAGCCACACCGAGATAGCTGGGGGTGGTGAGCCACGGTCCTGGCAAGAAGCCCACATGACATGTGTCTGTGGCACAGGCACCTCAGCACAGCAAGGGTGTGATGTCCCCCGCCAGCCTTCTTCACCCTGCTCTCCCCTGAACTAATGAACTCTGCAGAGGTGATAAACCTAGAGCCAAAGAAAGGGCTAGGGAAAGTCCCCTAAGGAGACCTGCTTTCCACCTGGAGTTCCTCATCAGTTTAGCCGTTCTCACTGGAGAGCCTGCTACTGAAGAAGCACCAGCCCGGGCCCAGTGGGGAGCCCCAGTAGGTTACCGGTCCTCCTCCTCAGTCAGTTTATCTTCCAAGTTCATTTTGGCATTGTGGTGATGAGCAGCATTCGTCTGGCTATTAGGGAGAGGACATGTTGAAGAATGAATGTGCATGGGTGCCTGTGTGTATGTGCCTGTGTGTGAGTGTGCCTGTGTGTTCCTCTGTGTGATGTGCAAACCGGGTGTGATGTGCACATGGGGGTGTGTGCAAACCGGGGAGTGACGTGAACATTGTCCCAAAGTGCATTTTGTGGGGTCTCCCTGAAGGAGCCTCGCCCGACCCAGTTTCTGGTTCCTCGCCTACCTCTCTTGCCTTGTACCCTGTTGCTGTCGTGCAGTCGTGTGAACATCACTTTTATTTCTCCCCTGTCCTGTGATTGCCTGGGGCTTCTCCCTGGCAGAACCAACAAGGGGCGGGACATCAAGACCATCAAGTCGTTGCGGGTGCTCCGTGTGCTGAGGCCACTGAAGACCATCAAGCGCTTGCCCAAGCTCAAGGTAACGTTGTCCGCACTTCTCCCCAACAAGACCCTCCTCCTGTCTTCTCTCTTTAGCTATGGTTGGCTTCCTTTTGGAAAATTATTTCTGCGAACATTTCTTTTGTTCCCACGGGGACTGAGGTTCTTTTCATCTGCCCGAGCTACGGGGTCTTAGCTTCAAAGGAAAAGAACCAACATCCCAAGAAATCTGTAAGGGGGCTCTGCCTCTTGAGTCCAGCCCCAGGTGGTATTTTCTACACTCTGGTTGTGGTGTGTCATCCAGGAAGAAGCCTATGTGACTGTCCTGGAGTTTCCTGTGTCACTAAGGTGGGTCCAGAACACCCAAACGGAACAGCAGGAGCCCTGTCTCTTGTGATCTGCACACGAGGTCAGGCCAAGTAACCGGGGATGGCTTCTCTCCTCTTAATTCTAGAGAAGGGAAGGGTCTGCTAGCACTGACCCTTCCTATTTTTGAGGCAGAGATGGGTCAGTGACTTGCCCAAGAACACAGAGCCATTTGGGTCAGAAGCAGAGAAGCATGGGAAAGTGAGCCGATGTGAATTAAGCGCTTCCTATCGCCAGGACCTGCACTTTCATAGGTGGGCTGGTTCTGCTCCCTGATAGGTGCCCTCGCTGCCCCACCCCCCGGGCTCCTTCCCTGAGCCTTCCTGCCCTCAGGGTGCGCTTGACTGTTCAAGCTGTGTGTGCTGGCAGGTTGAGCCTGCCTCCCTCACACACATACTTTGCTGTTATGGAAGCTGAAGTCTCATAGGAGAAAAATTCTCTCCTGAATTCCTCTGAATGAGAGCCAGCTACCACCCGAGAGGGAATGAGGGACCCCCACACCCCCTCGTCCTTGTTCCCCTTTCCCATTGGGTTCACATAACCTCTGATACTCCTCACCAACCCCTTCTACCACCACCCACACTGGCCTCAGGACACTGCTGCCCTTTCTGCATTCTGGCTCTGCAGAGAGGTGGCAAAACCAACGAGGCGTATCCAAGAGATGCTGGAAAAGTCACGTCTCAAAGGCCCCTAAACTGGCCGAGACATGGCTTCCTCTCCGAGCCCAGGGCCCTGGCCCACCCACATGGCTTCCCCAGGAGAGGCACCCATGCCCGACAGGAAGTGCCCTCACTGCCTGCCTCCATCCTTCACTGCCCTGCCTTTTCTCCAGGAGGAGGCCCCTCCCACAGTGTCAGGAAGTCTTGTACACACTGTTCTATTCATTCCAACCCTCCGCCTGTAATGGGCCCAGCACAGGGCCTGGCCTGGGTCAGTGCCAAAACATACGCATTCCTTTCTGCCCCAGCCCCAGCCAGATTTGGCGGGAGGCCTGGGCCCTAACCACTGTTGTTAGCTGCAGCCCCGGCTCCGGTGGTCTCATCTCCTCCGAGCGGTGTTGGGGTCCTGAGGAAAGTGCAGGTGGCAAGATGAGATAATTAACAGACTGGAGAGGCCACCCCAGCCTTGGTTAATTCCGTTTAATTAGGAAGTGCTGGCTCCTCTCTGTGGCTCCGTTACCTGAGGGAAATGTAGGCAGCTCTCATGATTCCGCAAGGCTGCGTGTCACTCGCAGTCCCTCCCCGCAGTGTTGAACTAATTAAACCAGCCATGTTCACCCAATGCTTCAAAGAAGCAACTGCACAAATGCGGCACCACCGTGGAGCAGGACTCTCCAGTGAGCTAAACCTAAAAACCTAGAAAATAACCTAAAAATGACTTGAAATGTGTCAGATTCCCATGTCAGTTCTCGCGGCTTAGGGTTAGAATGGCTTCTCCAGAGGGAGACCCATCACCTTTAACTGAAGTCCAAGTTCCTGATTCGGTCCCTCAGGGCTTCCCATGTCCACCAGAGAGTGAAGATGTCACATCAGCTGTTGCATCTTCGTCCCCATCACAGCCAGGAACATGTATGTAATTGGAGCAAATGTATGAACATAAAACATCATTAAAATGAGCAAAGATGGTAGTTTATTATCACTCTCTGATCCACTTAGAAAGGTAAAGAGAAAAACAATACATTTGCCATATATAAATAAAATCTAAGAATGCCACCAAATAAATGTAAGGTCAGGGACAAGTTAATGGCTAAAATGGGCTACGTGACCTCAAAGATCCCTTACCGCAATAAATTTCTGTGTTTTTCTCTACTGCGCTGGGTTTCCTGTCAGCTTCAGAGCTCATGTGCCCTTCCCAGGTTTTAGGTCCTTGTAGTCACGACCAGCTCGGAAGCCAGCTCTGAAGCCCACGAGTGTCACTTCTTAGCAAGTCCGTATCTCCTGAGGCACCTTCTCGGTGGGGCTGACTGGCGGTGCCGTGGCCCCACTTGGCTCTGCATCCCAGAGCCTCATGCGCCTGGGCTCTTACTTCTCCCCACAGGCTGTCTTCGATTGCGTGGTGACGTCCTTGAAGAATGTCTTCAACATACTCATTGTCTACAAGCTCTTCATGTTCATCTTCGCTGTCATCGCAGTCCAGCTTTTCAAGGGGAAGTTCTTTTATTGCACGGACAGTTCCAAGGACACCGAGAAGGAGTGCATGTAAGTGCCGCCAGCGCACACCGCTCCACCTCGCCCTCTCTGCTAAAGCTTATCCCACGAGGCCCACGCGCCCCTCTGTAGATAGGTCTGTTCTTTCTCTCTCACCCATCTCCATTCCTCCCTTAGGAAAAAAGGCAGACAAGGAAGTTGCTAAACTATTATTGTGCACCTCTTTTGTGTCAGACACTGGGTACATGGCATTGGACATCAGGTTTTTCCATTTTAAATCTTCATAATGACCTTGCGAGATGGGTTTTATTTGCATATTCTACATGGAGAAGCTGGACTCAGAAAGTTTAAGTTGCTCGAGGTTGCAGGGTGACGAGGGAAAGGATTTGGAGTTAATCTTCCCGGTCTACTGGGCACCCAATCCCATTTTTATTCCACAGTAATGCACTGCCTTTAATAAAATTCCTTCTTCTTTGCATTCATTTATATGCTGGCCATTATTACCCCCCATTATTGAAGTCCATAGAATTTCCTCCCTCTTCCATGAGCTGCAGTTTGAAGAGGCCCCATTTCATTTCTGACTGATTTTAGTGGCAACTACGTGGATCATGAGAAAAACAAGATGGAGGTGAAAGGTCGGGAATGGAAGCGCCACGAATTTCACTACGACAACATTATCTGGGCCCTGTTGACCCTCTTCACCGTCTCCACAGGAGAAGGATGGCCTCAGTGAGTGACAAGTCTGAGTCGGCTTGTCTGTGAGCTGGGGTGGGGCCACGTGGTTGCCCTGAGAAGCTGACTCAAGATGAACAAGGCTAACCCTTTGTTACTGTGCCAGGGAGAGTAAGTGGTTATGAGTGGGTGAGAGAGGCAGAAAAATGAAAGAATGAAAATCCTTAAGGCAAAAATCGAGAGGGAGATGACCAAGTCAGGGCACTATTTGAAACTCTTAATGTTTTAGCCAAGTATTGAGGAGTGGAACGGAGCCATCTGACTCCGATAGAGCAAATGAGTTTTGAACAGCTCTCCACCCCTTACAAGAGTCCCTGGGAGCTGTTTTAAACTGATTTATTCTCCAAGTTGACCCTGCACCTGAGGATTGTGGGTTAAGGATGAGCTCGCAGAACCCTGAGACATTTTCTGTGACCAGACCTCTTGTAAAGAAGACAACAAAATTCAGCTGTCTTCTGCTACCCATGGCTGTAGGGTGACTTCTCAGAGACTTGGCCATTACTAAGACACCCCTCTCTGGTGGCAGCGTACTCTACTCGGCTGCAAAATGCCAAATGGAAATCCAGGAGTCTCTTGGTATTGACTAAACCATAAAATAATGTCACTCTGTTGCTTAGAAGTTGGATACATGATGGAACGGGGGCTAAAAGAGCAGAGGGTCTGAATCCCCACCAACTTAGTTCTTAGGGACCCCCCCAAATATTAATGGAGGATCTGAAAAGCCAAGGAGGTCAGATGTGATAATAGGTGGCATGTCTCCTGATGAAGCCTGGAGCCAGAGCAGCTGCCAAGGTTGCCACCCACCATCCGCGCCCCCTCCTTCTGTCCCCACAGAGTCCTGCAGCACTCGGTCGATGTGACCGAGGAAGACCGAGGCCCGAGCCGCAGCAACCGCATGGAGATGTCCATCTTTTATGTGGTCTACTTTGTGGTGTTCCCTTTCTTCTTTGTCAATATCTTTGTGGCTCTCATCATCATCACCTTCCAGGAGCAAGGGGACAAGATGATGGAGGAATGCAGCCTGGAGAAGAATGAGGTAAAGCGAGAGGGCTGGAGTGTGGGACTGTCGCCAGGGTCCCCAAAAGCAGACTTGAACCAGCCATGCTAAGAAGGAAGACTGACTTTCCTTACCTGTATTAAGAATTAGAGAAGATGAGAAACAATTATTCAGTCGTTTAATAAACAGTTTTTTGAGCATCTGCTCTGTTTGAGGCCCAGGCGCGAGGCCCAGAGAACTGGAAGGGACGTCAGGTGTCTAGAAGTGGGGGACTGTGTGCCAAAATCATGACATGGGGACATCTGCTCACCTGGCTGTGTCCTCTGTGGCGTGTATTTGCTGTAAGGGAAGGGAATATGGCTTTCTTATTATCGCTTTTCTAATAACAAGAATAGTTCTGGCACCTCGTAGGGTTCATTATTTTTATAACGGAACTGAACTAGGAGTTGTTAAGAGGTTATAAGGAAATGCGAATAAAGTGCTATCGGAATGCCTAGAGAGACTTTTACTTCCGACTGAGGGCATCAGGTAAGGGTTCCTGCCTCAACATCTCAGCCACAGGCCGCGTGAAAAAAGGACATTATTAATAACCGTTAAGTTCTTAGCCCATGAAACAGAAACCCTCCCCCCCACCCCAGTGCTGTGTATTCAGTTAAGGTGACATCTCACCTGTAGTTTTGACCCTACAATCCCTGTTGCCATTTTTACTTCTGCTCGTGCAGTGCTACTCTTTGTTCTGCATACACCGTCCTCTTCTTCTGACCACCTGACAGAGCCACCAGTGTGCAAGGTTTAGGGGACTTGGGCTTGGGCTAATGACCCACAGAGGGCATGTATTCCCACAGAGGGCGTGTATCGACTTCGCCATCAGTGCCAAGCCCCTCACCCGCTACATGCCGCAGAACAGGCACACCTTCCAGTACCGCGTCTGGCACTTCGTGGTGTCTCCATCCTTCGAGTACACCATCATGGCCATGATCGCCTTGAACACCATTGTGCTGATGATGAAGGTGAGAGGGTGGTGGCCAGAGGCGCCGGGGAGGGCTGAACCTCTGTGAGCTGTTCCCTTCCAGAGCTGTTGCGGGGACACCCGAAACCCTGGGAAAACACCCCACCTTCCCAGTCTGTTGCCGCCTTCCCTCCTTTTCCATCATGGGATCTCTCTTTGATCTTATCTCCTGCAACAGCTCAGTCTCTGCGTCTTTGGGGCAAAATGCGGTGAAACATAGCAGCAGTCTAGTAGCTCCCAAGACCAAAGGTGGTGATGGCAGTGAGATTCAGACAAGGGTGGGAATGTCAGGAGATAGAGGTGACCATGGCATTCTAGAGGAGTGTTGGAAGAGATTTGGTCTTATTTAATACTAAATGGGCAAGTAGTGAACTCGGGAAAATGTTTCTGCCCTGCCCGTCTTTGTCTCGAGGAAGGCTGGCTGGGTGGCTCATGAGCCACCTTGGGGGCACGGTCGGTGTGTCCCCTGTTTTGTTTGGTTCTGCCACACAGGGTGCCGTCTCCATCTCTCCTACACCATGCCCCAGAGTGTCCTCCAAGGGCAGGGAAGAGAGATGGCCAGCCTCGGTGGCACGGAACACCCCTCTCACCTTAAGGGTCTGGTTCTGTCTCTCCTCTTTTCCCTTCCTGGCAGTACTACTCCGCTCCCTGCACTTATGAACTGGCCCTCAAGTACCTGAATATCGCCTTCACCATGGTGTTCTCCCTGGAGTGTGTCCTGAAGGTCATCGCATTTGGCTTCTTGGTACGTCATGGACCCTATCCTGCACCCTGCTTGTCTTCCCTTCCTTTTGGGGGCACCCCAGCCTTTGTCGGCAGGAGGGTGGTTACCGCTCATCAGAAATGGTTCCCGTACCTGCCCAACTCATTGTGGGCTCCTTTCGACGGCCAGTAAACTGCCATAGAGACGAGACGATGTGTGAGGGTGTTAGGAGACAGGGCAAAGGAAACCCCAGTGCCACACTCATCTGGCCATCAGATTCTGTCAGCGGTGGCGGTTGTATTGGGTCTCACTAGCGCTGCAATTTCTACATCGGTAAGAAGCAAAACAAGCATTGGACGCGTAAACCTTCGGTGCCTGTTTACTGGTAAAAGGTATAAAATTTCATAACTCAAATGAGGAAATATATGTCCCTGTCAGCCTCCAACATAGCAGGTAATAGGTTTTACCAAATTGTCCGTTAGTTGCATGAAGAGTAGTTTCTGCCAACAAAAATAAGTGTTTATTACTTAAGCTTACAAAGGCTAGTGACCTTTAAAGTGTGTATGTGTGTGTATGTGTTTCGGGGGGAGCAGGGAGAGAGATAGATATGTGTGTATTCTGGCATCAGGTTTGGGGAGGGTTGGGATGAGTTTTCTGGCATGAGTCCTCCCTTCACTTCTCAACTACTAATTATAATCGGCAGATTTTTGCATCTGCTCTCAAGAGTGTTAAGCAAACCTGGCCCTATGCTTCAGTGCCCTATAAACAAAATAGTCCCCCCTGCACCCCCGCCTCCCTTCAGCGTATACAGGGAAGCCAGTGAGATGCAGATGAAACCACTTGACAGCTGTTTCACACTTATTTAGTGTGTGAGCTACCGTTCCAAATTATATAAGTATATGGCTTTCCCTGCAAGAAGAGAAACTTCGCTTGTTATCTGAAACAAGGGTTGGTCTGGTAGTGGCTTCGTAACTGTGAGTGTTAGTGGTGGTTTGTGTTTGCTCTCCTAATGGTTCTTTGAAAAGTCATTAATTTGATGGTGTGGGGAGGTGCGTTGAAAGGAACCCACTGCAGGTGGCTGTTTTGTGGTTTGCTTGACTCACTTTTGAGTGTTTTGAGACTTGGGGGAAATAAAAGGGTCAAAAGAAACTACCACCAACAAAGATGCCTTGACAATACAGTCCAGCCCTGAGCAGCGTGAGCTGGGTGAGGGAGAAATGGTGCCACACGGGCGCATTTTCCTGTGCATATTAATTACTTGCATGTAGTATTGACATCGTCTGTGATGTAAGTCCCCTATTATGTGTCTAATTATGGTGAATGCTGAATACATACAAGCTTAACCAGATGATTTGGCCCCAAAGCCTGCCTCCTTCCCACCCTCACCCCCATATTTTCATTCAAGGTCTAGTGGCATTTTCACATTATACACGGCACCACTAGTCCCAAATACGTCTTTACGCTGATAGAGTACTCTAGGTTTTCAGAATACCCTATTGTGTACTGTTTTGTCACATCTTCTCAATGACCCTGGCATAGGCATGACAGGTATCATCACTATTATTGTTATTAATTTAAATGAGGAAATTGAAGTTCAGAAAAATTATATAGCTTTTTACAGGTTACATAATAAGAGGCAGTGGAATTGGAAAGTGTAATGGGAATTTTTTTTTAAAAGAAGGAAAATGAGGGAGAGAATGAGCATACATTGGTTGCCTATTAAGTACCAAACGCTTTACGTATTACTCATTTTAGCTTCTTAAAGCTCCATTAGGTAGGCAGTTGTCAGGGAACTGTAGGGCTCAGGAAAATTCAGTACTTTGCCCAAGGTTACAGAAAGGCAGAGCCAGCGTTCAGATCCTGGCCTGTCTGACTTGAAACCCCACACCGTGCCCACAACTAGTCTATCCTCCACTGTGCTGCTTTATACCATACAGTAGCATAAAGCATCCTCACCTGACCCAGGTCCTTCATCTTCTAAGACCTGGATTCTTATTCTCTCTGCTGTATTGGGGCCTATAAAGAATTAGGAAGCTCACCCCAGGTTGGGAACAGGGCAGCCCTGAGAATGGAGGAGTTCAGAGACTCAAGTCGAAGGAGTAGGTATTGCTAATGGAAATTGAAATTGGGAGGCTGTGAGCCTCGGTTTCTCTACCTGACAGGTACCTGTGGCTTTGCAATCAGACCCACCTCTCTAAGCCTCACTTTTCTCATTTGTAAAATGAAGGTAGCAACAGCTGCCTTATAGCCTTAGATACGTACTGTGTGTACAGGCAGTGTGCCCAAAGCATCTAGTCCTGAGTAGGTGCTCATTAAACATGGCGTCTCGCCCTGCACTCCTTCTCTGTCTTTACTGCATACCTCTCCCCACTCGCCTTGCCAACCCTACCACTCAGTATCTTATGAACATATGAGGTCTGACAATTAAGTTTGCGAACTCATCCTAGAAAAAGTGCTACATACCTCACTGCTGAATATCACTACGGTCACCTTCGAAGTACTCCCCTTGGGAAGCTTTGCACTGATGCCAGCACCTAGTTCACCCTTCAAAGCAATTTTGGAACTCTTTTTCTGGAATGGCCATCAGAGCTGTCATTGTATTACCCTTGATGTTCTGAATGTCATCAAAATATCTTCATCTTCGGGTATAGAAAGAAGTCATTGGGGGCCAGATCAGGTGAGTAGGGAGGGTGTTCCAATACAGTTATTTGTTTACTGGCTGAAAACTCCCTCACAGATAGTGCCATGTGAGCTGGTGCATTGTCGTGATGCAAGAGCCATGAATTGTTAGCGAAAAGTTCAGGTCGTCTAACTTTTTCACGCAGCCTTTTTAGCACTTCCAAATAGTAAACTTGGTTCACTGTTTGTCCAGTTGGTACAAATTCATAATGAATAATCCCTCTGGTATCAAAAAAGGTTAGCAACATCATTACAACAAGTTCGCAAGCTTAATTGTCTGACCTTGTAGGTATCACTCCCTACCTGTAGGCTCCATGGGAGGAATAAATGAATTGAATGAATGCCAAGGGCTGGGCCCAGTATCGGGCACACATAAGAAAGATTCAGTGATGCCAGTTGTGGGGGTGGGAGGGATGCACTTCTGCAGGGCTCTGAGTCTCTTATGGGAGGTGCTGCCCACAGGTTAGCAGGTGACTTTGGGGAGACCTGTATCCTGTTTCTTTTAAGGAATCTAGTCCAAGGTCTGTGTTCACCTGAGCTGTGGAGATAGGCACATAGTCCACTCTCTCCGTTAAGCGGAGTGTTATCTGGTTGGTGAGTTTTCCAGGTCCTTTATTTCTCTTCCATTTCCTTCTGCCCACTGATTTTATTACTGTTTCCTTATATTTTATTTCATTATCTCCTCAAAAGGTAAAACAGAGCAGAGAAAGGAGGGAAAGATGAAGTCCCAGTGCCAGTCAGCAGTTGGTTTGAAAAGGCTCCATAGAGTTCATGGAGATTTTTGGCACATCTTTGATTTTTAGTCACATACGACGTCTCTGTGACTTATTGATAACTGAAAGTCATAACTGTATATTTACAGGGGCACATGATACAATATGGATAATTTTAAAAGTTATAGTTGTAGAAAACCTTAGGGTAATATTGCAAATATTTTTATTATCTTGTACGTGACAGCAATGATCTATCTTTTTTGGACTTTATGATGTTCGTAGCCACAAGTCTCCGTCTTACCTATGAGCTTTTTAGTGACACCTTCAAAATCAAGGTCTTCAAATAGTGAGGGAACTGGTTCCCAAATGAGAAACTCCCAAATCACTAAAGGAGAAATAACATTTCTGGTTAGAAATAGGAAACCGGAGCCAAAGTTAGAATGAGCTTATACCCGAATTGACAAGTTTTTAACCCTAAGTGACAATGTTATGTAATGAAAGATGTCTTTTCCCATTTTTGTTTCCTTCCCTCTTTTCTTTCCCTCCTTTTTTCGGATGCTGCCATGGCTGAATTCACTCGGCAGAACTATTTCCGAGACACCTGGAATATCTTTGACTTCATCACGGTGATCGGCAGTATCACGGAAATTATTCTGACAGACAGCAAGGTGAATGTCTCGTAGATTCTTTTCTTTAATCTTGGCTCTGAAGTTCAGCAGTAAAGAAACCCGCTGCACTTTTACTCCATTTTTAACCCATCAAACCAAACGTGTAGCCCTCTGGGTCTTGGGAGTTGGCTTCCTCACTCCTGAGCTTTCACCAGAACACGCCAACATCGGAGGGCGCTGGCTCGCATGGAAGCTTTGTTTCATTGGCATGACTCTAATAGCACCCATCTCTACGGGCATGTAGAATGAACAGAGGGCGCCAGGAGAGACCTGGTGTGCACAGTGTTGTGCTGGATTCTTTGAGAGACACAAAAGAGGCATAGCATCTGTGCCCTCAAAGTTGTTAGACCTGAATCGTTTGTCCCAACAAAGACTTGGGAGAGTTTATCACAATTCTCTTTGAATATTGGAGGGCTGTCACGTGCGGGAGGGATGGTGAGATCTGCTCTGTCGGCATCTAAGTGCAGAGTTAGGTCTGCAGATGAGGGAGGCCGGCTCTGTGTAATGTGTGCAGGGCACCCTTCTGGGGAACTTCCATACCCTTCACCCTGGGAAGGCTTAGCAACATGGTCCTCACTCGCCCATCAGTTGGGGATGGAATTAAAAGCAAGACAGAATCCACACCCACTTTTATGATCTGAATGAGGGATAAATAGACCAATAGTAGTGCTTAAATTTTCTAAATAACTATAATGTCACTAATTACACATTTCCTTTTGATTCACCAGCTGGTGAACACCAGTGGCTTCAACATGAGCTTTCTGAAGCTCTTCCGAGCCGCCCGCCTCATCAAGCTTCTGCGTCAGGGCTACACCATTCGTATTTTACTTTGGACCTTCGTGCAGTCCTTTAAGGTAAGAGGTACCAGCTCCTCCTCTTTGAGGGCTGAGGTGGCCCTGTCATAGCAGACAGCGCGGCCAGGTAACAGTGGCATCATTGCACAAGTCCCTTCACCTCTGAGACCCTGAAGCTAGTAGATGTATTTGTCAGAAGCATTTGATAAATGTGGCTGTTCTTAGTTATAGTGCAGCTCAACTGGGTAGTGCTCAGCTCATGTCTGACTAGATCAAATCTCATTATAGAAAAACACCTCAACTTTGTAACTCAGCTATCTTCTCTATTCACTGAGGCAGGGGGCTTGTTTTATGAGGTGTGCCCTCTCCCAAGGCATTCTGAAACACCGAGCCATCCTGTTCGTATAGAGCCAGCCGCCTGTAGTCACATGCCCTCTGCATTTTCAGGGACATGACAGTGGCTTTAGTCCATGGAACAGTCTTTCAAAGGACTCCTTGAGTTGTGTTTTATAGCAAGGTGATTCATGCCTGTCCCACCAGGTCTTCATCAGTGTGTGTTTCCTGAACCCCTGAGTGTATGGCATTGCTAGGTCACGTCTGTGCCCTAAGAATTAATAGGTTAACACGTGGTGAGCTTCTTTTGAGCGATCGCCTGGGACCATACACAGGTGTATGCATAATGTGAACTAAAAATCAATACCTGAGACCCACTTTAATGGCAGACACTTCCAGGAAAAATTTTCCAAACATATTGAAGTATCTTCAGACGCTAGCAAATACCATAGTTAGTTATTTGTAAGGTTCCAGGGAGCTAAATGCTGTTCAAATGCCTACTGTGTTTCTCTTACAAAAGAAGAGTTTTTAAAGCGAATATGTTAAAGAATAAGTTTGGTGATATTAAGTGATTCAAAGATGAGAAATCACAAATTTGCCTTATTTTAATTGTTTAAATTTTTAAATTACAAGTTAGGATAAAGAAGTGAATTTGCAGTTTCTCATCATTCCGAAAGGGAGTTCAGCCCACACCGTCGTTACTGATTTACGGCTCCATCAAGGACTTGGTGTGAGATGTTAAGGGTGTTCAGGCCCCTGGGAGCAGCCTTGATGCTTTAATCATACCCAGAGAAATTGTTTGGTGTGAGAACTCCCATAGAGGCCTTTGGAAAACCATTTTTTCCAAAGCTAAATGGCAGGGGAGACATCTAAAGCCATAGTAAGAATTTACCATCTAGTTTCCGGTGAATTTGGATTTAGAACTTCAAACCAGGTGCTCTTAAAACCTTTTTTTAGTGGCCTGCCCAACAAGCTTCGGTTATTTGTGAACCTCTTAAGAAATATGTGTCAACCTGTCATATTATCATGAGTGCCAGTTCTCTGTAAAACGGGATACTATTGAGGGCGAAGAAAAAGCATGTCAAAAATTGACGGCCACGTGGTTGGCTTATGCCAGTGGATACACAGAGGACGGTGAAGACAGGTGAATCTGCCTCCAGGTGACACTGTGATGGGTAGGTGTTTCCTTTTCGGAACAGACCTGGAACCAGCTTAGAAATTGCTTTCTTAATGTTGACACAACAAAGTCTGGCACTGCACAGACATAGCCTAGAGCCACACAATATAAACAGCATGATCACTGCCTAGCCCCACCCCCACCCAGCTCTGAGCACCACCCGGCTCTCCACCAGGGACTCTGCTCAGTTCTTCCCTCTTTTCCCATATTTTGTGTTGGAATTTATAACATGATAAGAAAGATCAGAAAGAATCTTTGGTCCTCTCCCCAGAGCTCTGGGAGTAGGCAGGGATGAGCCAGGGACTGGAGACATTGGGGTGGAGAAGGAAGAGAAGGTAGCAGCACCCCACGTGGCAAGAAACCGGCCTCCCAGCAGACGGCGGTCTTCACGTGGGCCCTCAAAATGCAGCCATTGCACCCACAGGTCTGCCAGTCAGCATTTCATCGGAGAGAGGATCTCCTGCCAACTTTCAGTTGCATTTTAATGTTACCCTTTACCCAAGTTGCAGAAGTCTCCCAGGGCTCCTCATTTAGTTAGCGCTGTTGATAAGCTCTGCCTTGCTCGTGCAGCCTGAAAGCCTTCAATTGATCCCCTGGGATCCGTGCTGTCCACACTCAAGATAGAGTGGAGACACACAATTGCACTGTCTTCCGGGGAGCTTACTGGATGGTGAAGAGGAGGGACTTCCATATCAGCACTGAGATCACCCCAGAAATACAGCGCCCACCCTGTCCCCGAAACCAAACTCTCCAAATCTGTGTCCTCCCCACAGCCACCAAGAGCAGTTACCTGCCTTACATCTCTGTTGCTTCCCTGCTTCACCCCCATAATTAAAACGTTATCTCCAAGTGGCAGTTACCTTGCACAGGGTGGAATTTTGTGCCGCCTGGCTTCATGGCAAGGTGTGGTGGTGGCTAACAGTTAAAAGACTTTTGGGGATGTTGCATGACTCATAATGAACTGTCAGGAGGCTTAAACACTGGGAAAAGGTGTGTTATCAGAAGATGAAGGAGCTTTCTAGGAACTGACAAACAACTGGGACCCCGCTTGACTTGGCTTACAGATTCTCTGTATGGGCTTTACATTGAGCGAGGGCGTGGGAGGGGGTAATACAGGGATTCAGGAGCCAAAGCCAGATGCTGGCTGTGTAATTTGCATCACAATTGCACAGGTTATTAATATTCTGCATGCAAAGTGGGATGCGTCCCAGGCCCAGGAAGTTTTCCCAGCTCTCCCTGGAGGTCTGGGCCACGCTTCTGGGTGAAGGAATATCCTTGACAGAAGGTAGATTACAAGCCACTCTGTGGCCAACAGCATACATAGCTGTCGTGGACATCTGCAAAGTATGGCACCCTAAAATACAACTGCCCCAGGGAACAGGGTCCCAGGAATTTCTGGATAAGTCAGCCTCAGGCAAGAGTTCCTGTACTGCCCATGAGGGCAGCTGGTTGAACCTGGGAGCTGCCCGCCTTTGAATTCATGGTCATGTCTCTGCTTTCCTTCCAGGCCCTCCCCTATGTCTGCCTTTTGATCGCCATGCTTTTCTTCATCTATGCCATCATTGGGATGCAGGTGAGCTGGTGCATCAGGGGCCTGGTGGGGGACAGTTGTTGCCCAGATTATCTCTGGCTTGCCAGCCTGAGCAAACAGGACTGAGGGTGCTTTCAAGAACCTCGTCTTGCCCAGGGGCACGCTCCCAGGATCTTGTTGCAATGTGACCTGGGGACTTTCCCATGTGCTGTGTTTCCCAGGCAGGTCGCCCAGCTATGCAGGGCGGCCTGGTACAGGGGCTTCATCTGATGTTGTCAGACTATAATGCTGACCTACAAGAAGCTGGACTTCTGCGGGCGTGACAACAGAACTACAGCAAAGATGGCGCTGTTGTTCTTAGAGAGATCCCCATGAGACTAAGTCGGGGGCGAGGCTCATGACGATCCGTTGCTCAGGATCTTGCATATTTGAGCTTGGCCTAGAAAAATGTCACATGGTGGTTCTCCTGTATACAGCGACACTAAAGGTATCCGAGTGAATCTTGAATGGCTGAGGTTTATGCCCTAAGATGCACCATTGGGAACAACTTGTAGGGTTCCTGGCAGTGTGCCCAATTCTAGGGAGACCCAAAGGCCACATTCCAGCTCATTTCTCTCCAAGGGCCATGCCGCTTGCTGGACAGTTGGGTCACCACATCCTTTCCGGTTTTGGAAATGAGAAGTGGATCACATTCCCATGTTGGATATTCATGCAGGTAGCCAGACGGCCATTGAGCAGAAGAGGCCAAAAGATCTTGCAAAGGCAACTGTCATTGGTGGTGGGTGGGCTCCTACTGAAAACAACCAGCAGCACAGCCCATGAACCTACCCAGCTCTGCTTGTCTCGGGGAGGCTGACTTTCTGACTTGGAGATAACCCCAGCCTAGGACTGCAGTCAGGTGGCAGTCAGGCAGTTTGGCCACCTTGGGACTGCCAGCTGTCTTCTCAATGGTTCCTGCCATCTGGAGCTATTGGACACAGCGACCAGGCTTGCTGCGCCAGCAGCCCTTTCCGTACATAGATAGCATCTCTGAGAGTCTCTTCTTTTGCTCTTTTGCCTGCACTTCTTCTAATCTCATTACTAGATAGTTTGTTCTCCAAAAAGACAGTAGAACGTCAAGTGTCAAACAAGTGTGCGACTTGGTTGAGAATAATGCGTTCTCCTTCACAGAGGACATTTCAGTAGAGATTTAATGATGACGTCCGGGTGTGTTGAAAGCTGAATCCCAGATGAAGTTTAAGATTGGCCTGGTGACTTGTATTAAGTCCCTTCTAACTCTCAGATATTTGATTCTAGAATTCAAGTGTTCTCGAACAGCCAAATGAAACGCGATTAAGTTCTTTTTTGCTTATGCATTTTTGCTTTTACATTTTTAAGCAAAATAAACTAGAATTAGACCATCTCCAATATTAACTTGTTACTAATACTATGGATAATGATAATAATGCTAGTTACCATTACTTGAATTCCTGACTGTGCCAGACACTATGCTCAATGTATGTTCTTAGTCCCTCCCCCACCCATCACTCTCAAAGCTTGTAACTAGAAAAATTGCATCTCTAATAGTTGTAATAAAGCAGAGGAATCCATACAAACAGAAAGGCAAAAGAGCAGTAGACAAAGCACTGGGAAGATGTAAATAGCCACAAGATGTATCTATGAGAACTGTCATTCTGAACTTTCAGAAGCATCTTAGGAGAAGAGAGCTTCACAGAGGAATCTGCAGATGGAAGGAAGGAGTAACTTGCTGGGTGTGGGAAAGAGCCCTGGGCTACAGGTCCTTAGAGGTGAGGCTTTCAGCCTCAGCTCTGCCACTGACCAGCTGTGCAAACTTGGTCAAGTCACTGAACCTCTCTGGGCCTTAGCACCCTCACCAGTACAACAGAGGTGTTGGACAGGTAGCTTCATGGATCCTTTCTAGTTCTAAAGTTCTGTGAGTCCAAGTGAAAATGGATTTAAGCGTATACTTTCAGCAAGTTTTCTGATGGGCCTCGGTATCCCTTCTTTCTCTTCTATACCCTTTTGATGTGTGAGAGATTTTGGTTAGTGACAAGGACTAAGTGCAAAGCTAAAAAAAAGAAAAAAAAAAAGAAAAAATTGAAAAACTGCCTTCACCATAGATACACATTTTTGGCTTGAAAATTATCTTAGAGTACATTTAATATATTGGGTTGTTGGAAAAGTCATGACGCATGTTTGCAACGAAAAACAGAAAAAATACATCATGACTTTTCCGACAACCTAATAGCTTCGGTTTCTTTGGCTATTACATACATGCCTCATGCAAAATCACAGCGTGCCCTCCAGCGAGTTCATGATTGGATAAGATGTTTGAGAAAATCATAATGAAGACAACTAATGATGGCTTCAAGTGTGTCACAGGGAGAAAAAAAACACTAAATTTTGTGTATGTGATGAATCAGGGATAAATCATGGATTCTGAACCACAAGGGTGAAAATAAAGAGGAGACGTGAACACAGGTACAGCTACGTGACAGCTTCCTCCTGGGTGTCCAGAACTAGATGTGATGGTTTGGGATTATTTCCAGTGCTCCTATTGGTCTGTTTGGAGCCATCTCATATCCGCTGGACACACGTCACAGCTTCCTTCTTCTCCTCCTCCTTTCCCTCGTCCCCAGTGCTCTCTAGCTTGCCCCACTCCATTCTCCCTGAGAGACAAGTCGTACTTGGGTTTTGAAAAGCGTTAAGAACAAATTCCCAAAGCAGGTGTCAGGGGGAGTTACTTGAACAAAATAGCTGGAGGCAGAGATTGTCCCTCAGTTGTACATTCTGAAAACCGTTAGGGGGGAAAATGTGTTCCATTTAGCATATAGTAGTAGATAAACTGAAACATGTTCAATATAGGCTGAAAATTGTCTCAAATGGCTGAAAAAGTGACCTGTAAGCCTTCAGTTGTACAAACAATAACTTGTGAGACTAGATCCTGACACCCGAAATGTGGTTGGGGAGGAAAGTGCGTACGTCAGGGCGCCCTCCTCATCTAAAGAGGCTCTGGGTCAACACTGCGCCTGAGAGTTCATCATTAGTCACTGTCTGTGGAAACAGAGCTCTGGGTTTTCCCTCTTTTTTTCACATGAATTTGCATGGGGACCACATTCTAAGCCCAGCGACCAATAGCAGATTGGTAAATTCACTCTCTAGCCAGATCTGCCCAAATCCATTTTCTTTTTTCCTTTTCTAAGCATCCAGCTGTCCTGACTGTCTTCACCCTACTGGCCTGGACTTCTTATGTGTGCATTTGTTCTCATGGACCCTAGCTACAGACGTATCGACCTTCTGAAATTTGACTCTCTAGACAGGAACACATGCCAGACATGCCCGTTTCTGACCCAGGCACCTTGCAAATTCCAGGGCAGCATCCCATAAATCCCAGCTTCTGTAAACATACTCCTGACCTTACTTCCTGGGACAGGAAAGAGGCGGAGCTTCTCCCCTGACTCTGGTTATGGGGTGATGTCTTTGAGACACTGCCTGAGTACCATGGTGACAGGTGCCATGGAAATAAGAAGGCCAGCTTAGGTGTGGGAGGAGCTACACGCAGGCAGAATGACTCGGAAAGGTCTTGCCTTCTATGGTCCTCTTGGCTTCACTGGAGAATATTACTCCTGCATATCAGGCCAAGAGCATGGGCTCCATCAGCCTCTCTGGGTTTGAGTTATCTGTTTCAGTGTCAGGAGGAACCGTGCCTGTGGACGTGGCCAGTCCTGCAGGTGCATCTGCTATCCATATGCTGGACACGCCTCACAGCTCAGTAATGCTCATGGCTTCCTGTTGTTTTTCTCATCAAGGTATTTGGAAACATAAAATTGGATGAGGAGAGTCACATTAACCGGCACAACAACTTCCGGAGTTTCTTTGGGTCCCTCATGCTACTCTTCAGGTACCAGGATGCATAACTGTACTTGTAGCTGGAGCCCTCCTGCTGAGGGAAGCAGAGTTGGCCTCCTCTTCCTCCCCTTCCCTTTGTTCCTTTATTCTGCTAGTTCTGCCCCTTTCGGGGAGTACAGTGGCGTGCGGGTGGGGGTGCAGTGCCTTGGCAAGACTGACCAGATGACATTGGAACGTTTTCTCAGCATCTGACTCAGTAGTTAATTTGCAAATTGCCACTTCAACACATTCTCCTGAAAGGGGGAAGGCGAGGACAGGTTTTTGAAAACTAAATTCCATTTAAGGGCTGAAACCTTGGCTGGCCAGGCTTATGTGGGGACTTTGAGAGTCCCACCGCTGTCAGCAGAGAGTCTTCAAAAAACAGAGGAGCAGTGTGTAAGGTGACAGAACCCAAGACATCCCTCATTGGCGCACCCCATCTCTGGATGGAAAGCACTAGGGGGAGGCTAAGTGGCTACAAGGGGAACCGATTGGGCCTACGGCGAGAGAAAGGGAAAGAGGGCCAAGGAGAAGACAGGATATGCAGACCTGCTACGACTAACCGACGTGTCCTTTGGACTCAGGAGTGCCACAGGTGAAGCCTGGCAGGAGATAATGCTGTCGTGCCTAGGGGAGAAAGGCTGTGAGCCGGATACCACGGCACCATCCGGGCAGAACGAGAACGAACGCTGCGGCACCGACCTGGCCTACGTTTACTTTGTCTCCTTCATCTTCTTCTGTTCCTTCTTGGTGAGTAACACTGTGCTCTTGGCTTGAGGTGTGGCCCACCCCACCCCAGTCAAGAAATGTTTCTTTCAGCATCTGTTCGCACACGCACTGTATCCCGTGGTGAGAAACCAGATTTCCTCAGGAGAGCTCTTAGAGGCCAGGATGCCCCTAGGTGGGTGGCTTTCTGTGGCTGAGAGAAGTCTTTGCTGCTTCTAGGGAAGGGTTGCTATGAGAAGGGATGGTGAGTGGAGTAGAGGTCAGTGAACAGAGCATTGAACTTCACGTTGAATCTGTTGTGACCTAGAGTAAATCCTTCCTCTTCTTTACCTCAGGTTTCATAAGTAGGGCCAAGAATATCTTCTCTGTCTTTTGGAGACCTCTGAACTATTTAAGAAAGGTACCTTGACTATATCAGGTGATAGCATTCATAAGAGTACAGTGATGACAGTATATGACGGAATAGATACTCTTCTCTCTTACGTCATTACGTTTGATGATGGTTGGCCAGCTTGGTACACATGAAGGACGTGATTGCTTTGTGTACTAGTATAAGTGAGTGTGCTCCACAGATATTACTCAGTATTTACCACAGTGAGAACCCCGAGGTGCCACCTTAATGCTTCTATGGGAGAAAGCAGAAATCAGCACTCAGCACCCAGTAATCTATCCCGTGTAATCAGTCAAGTGGTGATAAACAGAATAATGGCCGAGGAGCTATCACATTAATCAAAGGGTCTATCTGGTGTTTCTGGCCACCCTGGCATCCCTCAGCTCAGCTTTACTGCTGATGCCACTGGCTGGACAAAGATCTAAAACTAAAGCAATGCCACTGAAAAATGGTGTCCATTTCATGGCCGTAACATCAAAAAGTGAATTGTCTCACGTCCAGGCATTTCTACCTCTGGAAAGCAATCCCAAGGGGACGTGCCATGTGTCCAGCTCTCAGGTGTGGGGAGGTGGCTTAGAGATGGACTGTTAAGGATGACTGCCAGGCTAAGGGAACAGGGATGAACCAACTGGAGACGCAGGTGGCCCACACGGTG